TAGAACTTCAATTTCGTTTTTCCGAGGTATTTTCCATTTCTGCGTCATTTATTTTATAATTCTTTCAACGGTTCTTAATGATAACACCGGTAGACGTTGAAGTTTCTGTTTTTACATGATTTTATTCTCGTCATTTGAATGAAATAAAAGTAGATGTGAATAAACGTTGTAAATAACCTCACGGGTTTAATTTTCGAGGCAATTGTTTCCAAAATTTGTCATTTCACTTTCAATAAACGAACTATGAAAACACAATATAAGTACTGGCATAAAATCGCAGACAATACTATATATGTACTTGCGTATTTAATGGTTGGTACTCCTAAAACTGTACTCGAACCTTTTGAAGAAATTTAAAAACAAGTCAGATTGGAAACGTTGTGTTTCAGGTCTAGCTCTGATTTTTCTTTTCTTTTTTTGATATGCACAAGAATAATGTCTTTGGCACTTCTTAATATTTTTTATAATATATATTGAACATGATATAAAAACGAATTTATTTACAAAGTCGTAATATGTGTACATATACACATAGTTATTACTCAAAGAGGACAGAAGTATAGAGAGAGGAAGTAAAGCATATAGATGGTCATCGAACCCTGCGACCGAACCGACGTTTTCAGGTGAAATTTACTTAAAAGTTGACCAATATTACGTTAAGTGTGTTTACGCCTATATATTGCTGTAGTTTGTCTAAAATAATAGTTTGATAAATAAACTTTATTGATACTAACTTTAATTGATATATTTAATCTTACTAACATGCCAGGGAGTAAGAGCGTAGCTCTTTCTGTCTGGTTCCACCTGAAATTATAGAAGATAGGTCCATTCAGAATTCTATCCACAGTATTGTCAAATGCGTTCGGTTGAGAAAAGTCTGGGATTTGTCCAGCCGGAGCCGCTAGTATCAGTCTGATGAATCCTAAGACTCCTGGAATGTACGGAAAGGACAGTTGGAATGAATTGCCTTGATCGTAGTGTATAAGATCTTGGGCGGTTAGCCTTCCTATTGCTGAAAGAATGTAGGGAGTGACGGTTCCATAAAGTGAGTTTGAGGATTTGGTTGCATCTCTAATGATTCAAAGAGTGCTACCAATGGTCCTGGGATGTTTAGAGATCCTAGAGGATATTCCTGCAGAAAAGTTAGCAAGACTTCCTGTTGCGTGCCTTAATTATTCCTGCTTTTAGTTCGGCTCTTAGTGTCTGTATGTAAATAGAGTTTGGAAATAAATGGATGCCAGGCGTCTTCCTGTCTCCTAAAGTAGTAGTTCTTCCTGATGAGGTCGTCCATTATATGTACTATATGGTACATGTGGTAAGCGGATATATCAATAGTTCCCGAGCTACCGTCTTAAGCTTACGAAGTCTTTAATAACAGCAACAGCTGCACGCTGCAAAAGGTTAGTCGAAATCCCGGCCTTATTACTCCTCCCCTACTTCAAATTTTAAGTCCTGTTTCATTGGGGTTGGTGTACGTGCTACTCCCCTACTATTCTGTACAATAACCAGCAACTGATAAGAGTTAAATCAAGAAAATGATAATGTAGTCTCAAGTACCATTTTCTGGTCCTAATTTTTATTTTATATTTCCTTAGGAACCAATCTAGGAGGTCCACACCACCCATATGCTGGTTATATGTTTTGATTATTTGGGGTAATTACTTGTATATACTGTTTCTGTTTCTTGGAGTATCTTCTTGGTGTTTCTATTGGCTCTTGACCCACAAAAGACGATAAACCGACTGGTTTGCTATCGTACCGCATAACGGTTATAATATCTGTATTGTCACAATTTGCTAGCCATTGCTTTGAATAACCTCTCTGAACCTTTCCCCTTACTAGGTCTTTTATGGAAGGTATTTTGAGGTCTTTTCCTAAACGATCTTTGTTTACACTATTCGATCTTTGGCCAAATAAGCAATCAACTCTGGCGACGTATAATAATTATCAAAGAATAATTTGTAATTTGGTTCTTTGGTATAGACCTAGCTAAGCCTACTGCAGTATTTGAGCTTTTTCCTAAGTCTGGCTCACTTGTATATCTTAGCTCGGAATCGTTCTCCATTCCAGAGTAAATTTAAAAATCGTAAGCAATCGTCCCATTTTTTTTTTTTAATGTTTCCAATATATGTCTGATTTTATGCAAACGATCATATCCTAGACTGCCTGATGGCGGTTGCGTGGAGTTATCGTTGAAATGTAGGAACAGACAGATTTTTCTGAAATGATTTAGCTACATTGTCTCCATAATCAAAGAAATACCCAATTCAGGTGCCCAATACATTCGAATATATGACAATGGCGCCAAACTCATAATCACACAGACACCTATAAACTTTTTCAATTCATTAGTTGTTATTGTAAATGGCTTTGAAGGATTTTTTTGGACACTAAATTTGTGCATAAAATATACTGAAGGGTAGTTTCAAAGTCTATAATCGGTGACTGTAAATTTGTGTTTCCAGTAAATGTAAAAGGAGATGATTGAAAAGATGTTTTCTTCCAAATAAATCTTCTCTTTTTTTTTGGGTGACAGTCACAGAGCTAGGGATTCTAGATCTATGGCCGATTCCTGATGTACTAAGCTAAGAGTCTGATATTTCTGGCTGACGATTTTCAATATTCGTAACAACTTCGTTGCCCAAATCATCTCGATAGAATTTAAATCAAAATGATAAGTCGGAAACCTTATAGTTGTATGACCATGTGCTTCCAATATTTGCTCGAATTTGTAGCGAATGTGCTTTCGTTTTACTAGTTCATGTAATTTTGGTTTTAAAATTTTATCACTAAACGAAATTCCTTCTTTGGTTAACAACCAAATCATTTCTGCATTTCTTGAAGTCGGATTTGGAACAGGATCAACTTGTATATTGTGATACGAGGCGTTGTCGATAACAATAACCGAATGGTTAGTAAATTAGGTATTAATTTTTCCCTAAGCCAGTTTTCATCAATAGAACTGTTCGTTTCATCATGGTAGTCACAACTTTTGGAACCTGACTTAAAAATAAATAAACAGTTTGGAATCAACCACCACCAGCATGAACAACTACCAATCTTTGTCCTTTGGATGTATTGGATGTATTAGACATCAGTCTGTGAGTACTTTCATCACACCATGGTTATGAAATGTTCGTTGTGTATGTAGGTTTCATTTAAACAAACTATTGGTCTATTCTCCCCGAGAAATAGTTTATTTTCGGTAGGTGGGATATTCTTAAAAGACGGATATAATTTTTTTCAATAAGAAGTTTTCTATTATTTTTGGTTTGTCGTCACTTAAAGTTCATTTTCTTTAAAATTGTTTTTAAAGATGTTGTTTTTCCCATCCATCCAAGGTCAGTCTCTAACTTTTTGCACAAATTATTTACAGTCTTTTGAAACTTTTCAGTTATATGGAAATTATAAACAATGTTTCGAAAGTCACCGTACTCGTATTCCTGCAGATCAGTAACTGGTGCACTAGAACTTCAATTTCGTTTTTCCGAGGTATTTTCCATTTCTGCGTCATTTACTTTATAATTCTTTCAACGCTTCTTAATGATAACACCGGTAGACGTTGAAGTTTCTGTTTTTACATGATTTTATTCTCGTCATTTGAATGAAATAAAAGTAGATGTGAATAAACGTTGTAAATAACCTCACGGGTTTAATTTTCGAGGCAATTGTTTCCAAAATTTGTCATTTCACTTTCAATAAACGAACTATGAAAACACAATATAAGTACTGGCATAAAATCGCAGACAATACTATATATGTACTTGCGTATTTAATGGTTGTACCCCTAAAACTGTACTCGAACCTTTTGAAGAAATTTAAAAACAAGTCAGATTGGAAACGTTGTGTTTCAGGTCTAGCTCTGATTTTTCTTTTCTTTTTTTGATATGCACAAGAATAATGTCTTTGGCACTTCTTAATATTTTTTTTTTTTTTTATTGAACATGATATAAAAACGAATTTATTTACAAAGTCGTAATATGTGTACATATACACATAGTTATTACTCAAAGAGGACAGAAGTATAGAGAGAGGAAGTAAAGCATATAGATGGTCATCGAACCCTGCGACCGAACCGACGTTTTCAGGTGAAATTTACTTAAAAGTTGACCAATATTACGTTAAGTGTGTTTACGCCTATATATTGCTGTAGTTTGTCTAAAATAATAGTTTGATAAATAAACTTTATTGATACTAACTTTAATTGATATATTTAATCTTACTAACATGCCAGGGAGTAAGAGCGTAGCTCTTTCTGTCTGGTTCCATCTGAAATTATGGAAGATAGGTCCATTCAGAATTCTATCCACAGTATTGTCAAATGCGTTCGGTTGAGAAAAGTCTGGGATTTGTCCAGCCGGAGCGGCTAGTATCAGTCTGATGAATCCTAAGACTCCTGGAATGTACGGAAGGGACAGTTGGAATGAATTGCCTTGATCGTAGTGTATAAGATCTGGGGCGGTTAGCCTTCCTATTGCTGAAGGAATGTAGGGAGTGACGGTTCCATAAAGTGAGTTTGAGAATTTAGTTGCATCTCTAATGATTCAAAGAGTGCTACCAATGGTCCTGGGATGTTTAGGGATCCTGGAGGATATTCCTGCAGAAAAGTTAGCATGACTTCCTGTTGCGTGCCTTAATTATTCCTGCCTTTAGTTCGGCTCTTAGTGTCTGTATGTAAAACAGAATGCCGAAATAGAGTCTGGAAATAAATGGATGCCAGGCGTCTTCCTGTCTCCTAAAGTAGTAGTTCTTCCTGATGAGGTCGTCCATTATATGTACTTTATGGTACATGTGGTAAGCGCATGGCGTGAATAAGCTGACCTGTGGGTGGGTGAGACCTAACAGGGTATTCCTGAAATAGGGTGTCAAAATGGCAATGATAGAAGATGAAGCATTAGGTTTCGACGAAGGTTCCTTCTTTTCTGGAGGTTTCTCGTCTGCTTTTTTTCTGTGATTCAATGGGCTTCTCAGCCTTTTGGGGCTTAGTCGGGGTTTCTTACCTTAGAGATCTGCTCATTGATGGTCTCCATGTCTTTAGCGGGGATGGTCATGGTGATGAAGTAGTCTAAAAACGAGAAAGTTAAAAAAATACAATAACAATAAAGAAGTTTTTATACTTCTGCTTCTTTTAAAAGATTTAAAGAATTGCTAACAAGAATGGCGACACTGCCGGCACCGCCGTATTCACGGTCCCTTATGTAGGATAAAAAGTTTGATTTTTTCGGACAGATAAGTTTCGGTGATGCAAGCAACACCGACTGACTTATCCTCGAGGAAGTGCTCGAGTTCAGTCAATTTACCTCTAATGCTTTGTGCATTCCAGGTAACTATGCGAAGATTATGTGGGTGGGCTGTGTTCTAACTCCATTTGAAGTGTTCGTGGTGTTGTCGAAGGTTATGTTGTATTGTTGTAGCTTTTTCCGTATTTGATTCCAGTCTTCGTTATAATGTATGATTACTGGTAGAATTCTGGGTCCGTCCGTTGACTCGCTTTGTAGAACTTCAAAATTATTTATTAGACGTTGTTATCTTCGTAGCTGTTCTTTGGTCGTAGGTCGGTCTTCTTCGGGATTTCGAAACCCTCGTCTATTTCCATGGTGTTGATAAATCTTAAGAAAGACTATTTTCTGTCGCTGAAGGACTCTAGTATCGAGTAGTTGTTGTCGACCGCTGCTGTAGTTGGAATTGCTGTCTCGAAGTTCAGACCGTGTGTCGACTTCTGTTCGTTATTGTTTTTTTTTGTTTTTGTGGAGGACGGGAAATCTTCAATAGACACCCAGCCGTCCGTACGACTGGGCAGTGTCGGATTTCCGAGGAAGGTGTCCTCGGACCTGAAACTGGAATTGTTTTATCGTTTGTGTTTGTAAGTCACGTGCTTACGCCATTTCGCGAACCAGCGCGTTCTGGTGGGCTTGGCAGGTTACGAAGGTTTTTGTTGCCATCTCTGGAAGTAAGTCCTTAACCCAAGCGACCTTTAAGTCCTGGTGAAGCGTCGCATTCGGAACGAACCAAGGAGCATTCGTCGCAAGCCTCAATGCCTTGTTTTGAACGACTTGAAGTTTGTTCAAGTGCGTCTTCGCTCCGTATGAATTCACTGGTGCGGCGTACATCATCACCAGTCTAATGATCGATGTGTACAGCCGAAGTTTGTTGTTGAGGATTAGTTTGCTCCTACGGTTCATCAGGAGAGACATCACTGCCGATGCATTTTGAGTGCAATAATAGGTGTTATGTTTCCATGTTAGTCCGCGGTCTAGCTTGTCACCTAGGTACTTAACTTCGGTTTTCCAAGGGATCGGACGGCCAAAGAGGGTGACTTGACCAAACGGGCTGTGTCTTCGTTTCGTAAAGGAAAGAGCGCAGCTCTTTTACTGGGTTCACCGCTATACGCCAGGTTCTGAACCAATCCTCCAGTCTGTTAGCGGATTCCTGTAACCGGTCCGTGATGACATGCGGTGCAATACTGCTGTGTCGTCGGGCGTACCAGTCGTTTTCGGTGTGTCGGCGGTCTAGACTGCGAACAGGAGTAGCGACAGCGGTGAACCCTGTGGGGTTCCAGCTTCCATTGTACGAGAACTAGAGCGGATATCCCCTAATTTCGCAGTAAAACTGCGATCCCGGAAGAATGACGCAATAGTTTTAACTAAACCCGGGTGGTAACCTACACAAAAAAGTTTGTAAATTAAGCCATTATGCCATACCTTACCGAATGCTTTCGAAACGTCGAGAAAAATCGCCTCTATTGATTGCTTTCGGTTGAAACCAACTGTCGCGAATTCCACCACTCGTAGAACTTGTTGTAGGGTCGAACTGTTCGTCCGGCAACGAGTTGTTCCGGGTCACTTCCTCTCGGAGTCTGGCTAACACGACCCTTTCGACTATCTTACCCAGCATGGGAAGAAGACTAATCGGTCGGTAGTTTTGAGGAAAAGTTGGTGAGTTTCCCGGTTTCTGAAACATAACAACGTCCGCGGATTTCAATTTTTGTGGAAAATACCGTAGACAAAGCTTCGCGTTAATTATTTTTACAATTGACATAATTGCTTTCACCGGTAGAGCCTTTAAGGCTCGTGCTGGAACTCCATCAGGACCGGGATCTTTCCTAGGATTAGTAGCCTTAAGTAACTCCCTTATCTCCTGCGGGTTGGTCGGTTTTACGAAACCTGTGTGGGCTGCTCTAAGTAGACGTCGAACGGCGCGGTCGACTTCTTCGATTCTGTCTTCGTCTACGTTATTCTCGTTAGGTCGGAAAGCGTTCTCTAGGCAGCCCGTGAACGCTTCCGCCTTTTCGGATGGTACGTATACCACCCCGCGCTCGCCATGAATGGGAGTGGTGCCACGTGATTGGCCCTTCAGCGAACGTGCTAATGTCCACAAGGAACCTGGGAGCTGATCTGCGTTAGTGAACGTTACCTGCCACCGTTCCCGGCGTACATCCAAAAGCGCGTCTTTCACTTGTTGCGACAACTGGTTTATTTCGGCCCGGTCGGGGTTGTTTGTGGTTGGCTTTGGGCTGGGTTTTTCTCGCTTTTTCTTCGTGCTGCTTTTGCCGGGTTTTGCATGGGTTTGCTTGTCTTTGTTTTTCTTTTTGTTGTTGTTTTTCTTTTTTTCGTTTGTTGCCGTTATTGCGGTTGTGCGTGTGTCGATGTCCTGTTGGCTTCGGATTACCTTGATCTTAGGAAAATTTTCCTAAAGATGGTCGGTAAATGCTGGCCAACAGGTGGACTGTTTTTTGTAGACGGTGCTGTTGTTGTTGTCACCTATAGACAAAATAACCGGGTTGTGGTCTGAGGAAAGTTCACTTAAAGCCGACAGCGTGAAGTCTTGTGCGACGTCCTTGAAGATGGCGATGTCCAATACGTCTGGCAGCCATGCACCGTTTTTTGCGTGGTATGTAGGTTCGTCTGGCCCGACCACTACTATTACGTTCCTGGTTTGTGCATAGTTATACAGGACTGTGCCGCTTGCGTTTTTTCGGCGACTGTTCCATGCTGGGTGTTTGGAATTGAAGTCGCCGGCGACTACTGTTGCTACTTCAGAGTGCAGGATATCGTCTAGGTCCTCTACTCTGATTGGGCGGTCGGGCGGTGGGTATGCTGCTATCAGACGTAGAGGGCCTCTTGTCGTCACGACTTCGGCAGCTGTCGTTTCTATTTGTTCTGTAGACAAAACGGCAACGAGATAGTGTTCGAGCGAGAGATTAAGATACACGGCTGTACCATCACCTAACCTGTTCTCTCGGTCAGTCCGGTATAAAGCGTAGTTTGGTAACTTCGCAGTTATACCTTCCCGTAGGTGGGTTTCGCTAATAAAAACAACGTCTGTTGAGAGCTTTTCCGCTAGCTCAAGTAGCTCTAAACGTTTATCCCCCCCTGTATTCTCATTAACTTACCTAGTTAAAAAGGGATACGATGTCCTGTGCGCATCCAAGCAGGCGCTTTTCTTCTTTTGACGTGGGATTGGAAATTTCTCATCCTGTCTATAGTTATCCCCAAGTACGTGACATTTTGTTTGAGTTTAACTTTCTTGTTTTTAAATAACAGGTAGTTATGTTTAGGTCTTTTTTTTTCCTAATTGGATAGCCTCTGTCTTATTGTCGTTAATTCCGATTTTCCATTTTTGGTCATATCGAGTTACCTTTATTAGGGTCTTTTCCATTCGGTTCTTTGCTCCATCTATGTTTCGGCCCAGTGTAACTATCGCAGTATCGTTTGCAAACTGTAGGATGTTTGTTAAAGGGTCCTTAACTATCTTAGGCAGGTCAGCTACGAACACGTTAAACAAAACTGGTGATAAGGGTGACCCCTGTGGAAGGCCTTCTTTGGTCCATTTTTGAGACGAAAGGCTATTTTTAACTTTAACCCTGATGCTTCTTGAATTGAGCCAATTTATTAAAAATCTTTGTATCCACAATGGGAAGTTGTGTTTGGCTATTTTGTAAAGGAGTCCCAGTCTCCAAACTTTAACATATGCTTTCTCTATATCTAGCAGCACTCCTATTACTTGTCTCTTTTTCCTCATTGCCTTCTCAACAATGTTGGTGAAGTTTGCCGCCTGTTGGGTAGCCGCTAGTTTTTTTTTGGAAACCAAATTGGTTGTGCAGGATTATTCGGTTTTCTTCTGCAAATATTTGTATTTCATCCTTATCGATGCACTCTAGCACTTTGGCTAGATCACAGAGAAGGCTAATAGGTCTTTGATTTTGCAGTAGTCTTGGGTCCTTTCCACCCTTCGGTATCGCTATAATTACTGCTTGTTTCCAGATAGAGGGGAAGTATGACTTGCCGATGCATGCGTTAAACAGGTTTGTTATTCTGTTTACTGCCGAGTTGTGAAGCATTTTAAGTGCTAGGTTACTAATTTTGTCAAACCTTGGACTCTTCCTACTTTTTAAGGTTCTGATTCGAATTTGGACTTTTTCAGTTGATAATTGTGGATATTCTTCTAATTGCGCTTTTTTTACTGTTTTTATTGTTTCCATTATCTTTTTGTTCTTATGATTACATTGTACTTTGGTTGAGCACCTTTCGATAATGTTCTGAATTTCTGTGGTTATTGATTTTGCTTCCTCCTCTGTATCTCTATGATCTTCTAGTCGTACCGGCTTGTCCAGTGTTTCGCTAAGAAAATTGAATTTGTCCCAACTGGTTTTAATGACCGTTTTTTCTTCCGATGTATTGGCTCGGAGTGTACTGGGAAGTGGTCCGACGACAGTTCATACTTTGTATGCCTTTGCCCCTGGCGTTTTCGTTAAGAGTGCGAAAAGTGTCTTTCCTTCAGGGTTTATTGTTCTGCTTCCCCAGGACGTGTGTTTAGCATTTAGGTCGCCTCCTATAATTGTATTGGGGAAACAAAACAGGTCTTTTTCTTCTGTTCTGTTGTTAGGCTTGTTATAAACGGCTACAAATCTTATCTTTTTACCATTCAGAGACGTTTCTACACCCACCGCCTCAATTTTTTTAATATCTGTGAAGTAGATGGGACTTGTGCAAAACTTGCTGTTTATTGCCACTGCTACGCATCCTCCTGGCCGACCTTCCCTGTCTTTTCT